ATTCTCTTTAGGAGTTACCCATTCCAAATTATCTACTCGATTATCATATTTGATGCCATTAATGTGGTTAACATAAGCCTTATTTTTCGGATTAGGAATGAAGGCTCGCGCGACTAAAATATGAACCTTGGTATGTGCACAAATATCATTAATAATTATTTTTATTGGCACATATCCATTCCTTTTGCAAGCATTTGGCATTAAAATCATACCTTGTTTATTCTTGACGTGTCCGAGATTAGAAACTAATAAATTCGCTACAGGCAACCAATATTCTATTATGATTTTATTTATTGTAAATCCATTTTTTAATTTTAGCAAGGGTAGAGTCTTCCCGATGATTGCAATCAATTATAATACCATTAGCGATTATCACTGGGACGAACATGACGAACTAAATTCTTTGTGTTGTCTGGTGGCATTGGGTGATTTTGAGGGGGGTGAACTATGCTTCCCTCAACTCCAGATTATCGTTCCACTTCGTCCAGGGCAGATCGTAGCATTCTCTTCACGTTTCTTATTGCACGGCAATTTTCCTGTGACTCAAGGTATCTGACATAGCGTCGTTTATTTTGTTCATGGTAATTTCTTCCACGACCTGTATGATTTTACTGAGATTTACAAAGATCGAAAGGATGGGATTGAGCAGGATGCAAATGGATCAATTGTTCTTACAATTCCTTGACAAGACTTAAACAATGCAAATGGATTAAACCATATAATCAAACTCGACAAGCTGAAAGCCAATCAGGTTCGAGTTCCGCTGTCATCCATTGATTGTAGGAGAGGACATATCGGTAAGTTATTCTGTAATTAACTATATGGATTAAAAAATAGATTAATAATGGGTTCTTTTTCTTAGATCTAAGGCGAGCACGTCGTGGATTGAAGGCCGAGGATCCATTACCAGATGGGGTATAATTCAATACTTATATAGCAAAAATTATTATAGATTTAGTGGTTTTAAAATGTAAACTCTTCAAGTCATTGCACAACAATAAATATATCAGATGATCCCTGGTTAAATAAAGATTTTCGCATATACAGTACTGTAAACATATCAATCATAATTATTTTTTTTTCTTGGCAAAAGTGATCGGCGTGACAATTTGTCACACACTTAGTATATTGTATGTGTAATCATTAATATTCCAGAATAATTTCTTAGTGAAGTGATCTTATAAAAGTTACTAAAATGCAATCCGAGTTTGATTTATTAAAACAAAGGGTTATTGATCTTGAGGCTGAGAATGCGAAGCTAAAACAAATTATTGAATAAAATACTAAACGCGAAGCCGAGAACATTAACCTTAAGATGGAATTAGAAAAAAATAAAAAAGATATCACCTATCTCTCAGCTGAAAATTCTGAGCTTAAAATCAAAGTAGCAAAATTAAGCTGTGATTTCGAGGAAATAAAATCAAAGGGAATAATCACTGATTCTCCGGAGCAATTGTCAATTTCTGAGAAAAAGATAGTAAGTGTTTCTACCGAAATGAAAAATTTTAGCGTTACTCCCGAACAAATAGACTTATAAACTGAGGTTGTTTCGGCATCAGATATATCCGATAACAGTTCAAATTTTGATGATATTTTCGAGGAAAAGAGTTCCGCTCCTCTCACAAAAGAAATTTCACCACTTAATGAGAATCAACCCGATAAGGAGAAAGCTATTACTCCTGATCCTATAATCAGAATAGATCATAGTTCAACCCAGGTCCAAAAAACTGAATTATCTACAACCTCTTTGTCACAAAATATTATCGACGATACGGACGAGGCCCTTGATTTTGCAGAAATGAAACATAAAGAACATGTTAGTAAAGCGATAATGGAGAGAATTAGAGAAAAAAAACTTCGGGATCAAAATTCATCTTTGGGTAGTACTTCATCGAAACCATCCTATGAAAATCAAAATCTGGAATCATCTATAATATCACAATCTATCTCTAATATTTCTGAGTTATCTTCGGATAATAATTTACCATGTGATTCTGAGTCTAAATCACCCACTAATGTATCATCTAATCAGAGGCGCGAAGCACTTTGCTTCGTAAAAATTCCTTATAATCAAAAAGTAGAACAAGGTTTAAGAATCGAGTTATCTAGTTGCACCAAAGATAATAATCACAAGATTAGTAAAGTATCTGATGTTCAAATTCCTGAATTCTCTTTAGAAGCGATTTTATCAGGATCTAATAGCGTTACGTCGCAAAATATCGTTGATCTATTTAGGGTAGCAATGAAAATTAGACAAAAGGAAAGTTTGTGCTGGTATTGTTATTATAAAGCATATGAGAATAGAGTCAGTGATGTTAAGACTGGAAATAATATTGATGACCAATCAGCAAGAACATTAGTATATAACGAAATTAAATTGCTTCTTCCAGATATTACTGATGTCAACTTGCATAAAATAACTTCCAGAGCAAAAAAAGTCTATATATTATACGAAGGAATAGGAATAGATAAAATTAGTCAAGTAACTTATAGCGCAAGTGCCATTTCAAGTTTAAAGGATATTCAAATTCAAAGTATTGTAAATGATTTTTCCAAGAAGTTGATTGATACGAATTGCCAGGCACAGAGTGCCATTTCTTCCGAAATAAAAGCGATCGGCATGACAAATTGTCACGCACATATGTCTACCTCTCGCAATTCTTTAGATAGTTCCAAAGAAATCGGTTCAAAGAATTTATCTACGTCATCTCGTCAACCAATTCCTAGACCAATCCAAATATGATGGAATGTCTTTATCAATATGCCATCGAACATGGAATGGATCCCGAGAAATTTTCAGTCATTACTAAAGCTGAGAAAAATAGGTGGGCCATGGGATATTTTCACGAGAATTTGGAGAGGGATATACGGTTCTATCGCGGTGGAATAAAAAGTAAAGAAGACCCTAGAAAATATCGTAAATTTTTAACAGATCGGGAAAGGCTGGTTGGTGAAGAGTCATTACGTCGCAGTATACTAAAAAGCGGTTTAAGTACTGCATGGTTAGATGATCTGATGAAAGAATGGGAAGAAATCTACACTCAATTCATACAAATTTTTAGCCAAACATAGTGAGATCCAGAGTCTTTTACATATCTCGGATAATTATTTAATACAGTAGGCAATTATATATGTTACATGAACTTCTATGTCGATCCCACTCGTGATAATTTCCTGGTTTAACGACTACTTCGTTCTAATTGGTTTATTTTTACGATGTTTTCAGATAGGGGATACAACTTTTTTCTTTTTAATATGAACACGATTCTTTCGGAGTTTTATCAGATCAAGATCATACCAGTCTGAACTGATGGATTCTGAATTAGAGCTGGCTATAAAGTCTTCATCGATTAATGGGATGCTTATACCTTGCATTACTATTTTAGCATTGGAATTAAAGCTCATCTTTACCTTATGCACCTATAACCAACCTTGACCCAATACCAGATCAAATGTTGGATTTTTGCGAATCAATTTCTAAATAATATAAGATCAAAAATATTACGCTGTTGCATCATTCTCAAGTAATGTATATCTTCAATCGAAAAAATAATTAATATTTAGATTATTGGTTTACATATTTAATTATTAGATTTTAAAAGTAACTTTACTTGTTGATAATATCGATCTTTGGCTTGCTTCATAAAGGATCCACCTGGTCGATAGAGCCACTCAATTACTGCGTGCTGAATTATTTTAGCGGAATTAATTTGTCTTCTTCATAAACAATATGTCCACTGGATAATTAATGATGCATGATTTTTTTTATACAATGCTAGTTGAACTTTAAAATTTCTATATTCAAAGTCATTACCTATTTGCTTATAGTTGGTCAAATTATTTTTGATATGAAATATAAAATTTTCCCAATAATCTCTACTATTTATTTCATATCCTAATTTTAATAAACATTTGTATATGTATTTTGGTGAATAATATTTTGCAAACTGTAACCATGCTTCTGACATTTTAATATTGTTAACAATATAATTTTCACCATATTCATTTAACCTGTCTCGCACTATGCTATAACTCATTATATATTTACTTCTTATTTCAGACATATTTAATATGGTTTTAATTTTTGTGTATATAAATAATTAAAAGATTAAGATCAGATACTACATGCTTATCACCTGAAGCAATTAGTGATATAATTACTGCCTTTTTTCTCACAGGTTCAGCAAATGCATTATGGAACCTAGCTAAAAAATATAATGTATTATATGCATGAATTTGTGAAATATGGGAATTTGCTATTGTGATAAATAATTAATATTTATTGTGTTACGAAATATGCAATAACTTACAATGTGACATGGTATGAAATTTTAGGCATATATGCTATGCATTTCCCAAATATTCTCAATTAACTTAATCTTACAACTAGTTCCATTGAGTAATGTAAGAGTTTTATTCAGAAAGTCCAGTTTTATTGCATTTTCCTGGAACCATAGCTGACTTAATATTAGTACAGATTCAAGTTCAGATTCATTGGTAACGAAAACATTAGTAACTTTTACTTGCTCCCATTTACGATCTTGAGATTGGATTAAAATCTCTATTGCATGAATTATTCCCAATATATTGAACTCACTGATGGGACTATGTATTTCCATATCAGAGGTATTATTAATTTTCAAGTCTACTATTTTTGCTATACTCTCGCCCATAATATTACAATTAGTACCAGAATCTAGTATAGTTTTAACTGGTACTTTGTTAATTTTGCAAGATAAAATTCTTATAGTGATGTTTTATTATAACAATATATTTAATTCTAGATTTTTAAATTCATATTAATAAATAATAATTTCGTATTTACAATGACTGAAGCTAATAACAATATTGATGATAACCTGGTGGAAAAATCCATAAAAAACTTTAAACAATGTTTGATTGACATCAATAATGAAGTTGTGGATGGAATAGTTGATTCAAGCTCAGAATGTCCAATTATCACTTATGAGATTGTGAAAAAATTAGGTTTTGTAAAAGATAAAAGTTTATCTAATATTATTGATAAAGCAGTATCTGATATTGTTAAGCAAGTATCAGATAAAAAAATCCAAATATCTCTTCACCAATTACTAGAGATAGTAAAACCCAAGGTTTGTCAAGAACTTATAAACTTGATAACAAACTTGAATATCCTTCAAGAAAATCATATACCATGCAAGACTAAAAAAAAATACAAAGCTAGAAAAAAACTAATTTTTAATGATACCGCATCTGAGTTCTTGTCTTCATTTGAATCTGGATCTGGGTCCAACTCTGAATCATTTAGCTACAAAGTGACTATCTCCAATAACGATGATAAAGATTTTACTGTAGATATAATGAAAGCAAAGAAGCGTAATTAGTGCTTGGATTTTTTGTTTGATTAGTTCTAGTTGATGTTTTTTGCTTCCTGTTGCTGTGATCCATATGCCTAGGATTTTGATAGCTTCAGTTTTTGGTTTTGATGTAATCTTGTGGCCTTGCATTTTGATGTGTCCCAAGTTTTCTGGAATTGATTGTGATAAGTGCTGCTTTTTCTGGATTAATTGTAAGATTGGCTATTTTTGCAAAGCTTTTTGTGGTTTTGGTAATTTTTTGCATATCTTGCTTGTTTTTTACAAGCCATACTATATCATCTATGTAGAATATCGATGCCACTTTCGTTGTTATGATTTACCACTTGCCATGTTTTCTCGTTGGTTCTTGTATTGTAAAGTGGTATCTGTGTTTGGATTTTTCGATTTTTTCTATAAGTGGATCATAATATATTCTCTATAGCAGTGGGAATATTGTGTCACCTTGGTCTATCCCTAGTTCAGGTTGAAATGGAGCTGTGAGTCCGTGGCATATTGTGATATAATTGTTGCAGTTTTTAAGCAGGTTCATTATTATGTTAATGATGTTTGTTGGGATCTTGATCCTCTTTATGAATTTTTCTAGCATTTCGTGATTTATTGAGTCATATGCCTTGCTTATGTCTTGGCTTAGTATCCAGCATTCTTTTTTGTTTTCTCTTGCCTCTTCTAGAACATTGTTAATGATATTGATTGGTTCATGTGTGTCTCCTCCTGGGAGTCCTGCCTAGTTTTTGTCAGATACAATTTGATGTTTTGTCATAATCTCTGCTAATCTGTTGTTGAGCAGTTTTGTAAATATCTTTTTGATTGTCTCGAGGAGCGTGAATGGTCTTACTAGATTAAGGTTGTGTTGCCAGTCTGTTTTTTTTGGGATCGGGTATATGATATTTTCTTGCCATTTTTTGGAGATTTCTCCTGTTACTAGTATTGCATTAAAGATTTTGATGATTCTTTCCAGTGCTTTTCCTCCTAAGTATTTAAGGAGTGGGTAGCTAATACAGGATTTGCCAGAAGCAGAGTTGTTTAATGTGTTTTGATTATGGTTCCGAAAATTGGAATCGAATAGAATCGAATAGAATCGCATGAGGTTCGGAACACTATTAAAAATGATGGTGGGATATACCCCACCTATTAAATTTAATATAAACTTGAGAATCGAATACAGAATCGAAGAGAATCGTTAGGATCCTTAGTTTTGATTATTTCCTTGATTTCCAATGTCTGAATTGTTATTGATATCTCCTGATACCATTCTTGTTTTTGGTTTCTTTGGATCTATACTCTTTTTTCCATGATGCCTATTCTGCTTGTAAGATGTGATCATGTATAACTGTGTGTTTCTGGAAGTGTATATGTGTCATTTCTTTGATTTTATTTGGATCAGTAGTGACTGTAACTTCTAGTTCATGTATTATGATTTTGTTCCTTTGGATTATTGGTCTTGGGTGGTTTAGAATTGATACGATCATCTTTTTCTTATCCTTGGTGTAGTTTATTTCTCTTTGTTCAATGGCTTTTTAGATTTTTCCTGTTCTTCTTGTCTGTCTGCCATTACAATTAACTTCTTGATGGTTTTATAAGTTTGTTTAATCCCTGCTATCCATGTAACAATTTCTTCTGATTTGGAGTTGGTGTCATCCCATGGTGGACTTGATATGTATTGCTCATTTTTGTTGATCTCTTTTATTAGTTCTTCAATCTTCATCTTTGTGTTGTTTGTTTTTTTCCCCAGAGTAAAATATCTTCTAGCTAATGTGTTTAGTTTTCTAATCGTAGTGATTTTTTGATATCTTATTGGTACTAGGTGTGCTGGGTTCTTCCCTTTTTTATGTTTCTTTTTCTTTGGGATGTGCTGGTGGGCTGCTTTGCAAATGATTTCCCAAGTTTTATTCCAAAGTTGATTCGGAGTGAGTGAGTTTGCTAGTGTGTTAGCTTCTTGTTGTTGGATCTTCTCTTCAATTTGTTGTTTGTAGGCTTTCCATTGCTTTGTTGTTGCTTTTTTGATATTGAAAATATTATTGTGATTGAAGGATAATGGTTTCTTTTGTTGGGTGATAACTTCTGTGATCTCGATTTGATATGTTGCTATATCATGATTGCTGTGCATATCTGCTTTTATTATGTCCTAGTTGTTGTTGGGGGATATTCATATATAGTCTATACGTATCTTTGTGATGCGCATATTTGTCCAGGTGTATCTTTTCCGTTCTAGCCATAGCTCTTTGAATGTATCAATATGGTTTAGTTGAATGAGTGTCTTGATTGTTTGTGATGTTGAAAGCTGGTTTCTACTTGCTGGTTGTTTGTCCAGCTTGGAGTTGTGAAGAGCATTGAAGTCTCCAAGTGTGATTATATTCCATCCTTTGTGATGTCTGATCCAGATTTTTTCTTGTACCCAGGTGGTTGTCTTTCTATAGTTTTCATTGTTTTGCGCAGGTATGTATATTCTGATTATGCTTATATGTTTGTGGCTTTTGAAGTTTAGATCAATGCATATTTCTTTTCCTGGTGTGGATTCAATTTTGCCTATGTGATTCACAATGTCTTCTTTAATCATGATTGCCACCCCTACTTCTTTGTTGTCATTGCTTCAGGTTGTGTGGTACCCTATGGTCTTCCAGTGTCTGTAGCTGTCTGAGGTGATTTGGGTTTCTGTCAGTACTGCTATGTCTATCTTCTCCTCTGTGCAGTATCTTGTCCATGTGTTCCTTTTTGTCTGGTTATTAAAGCCTCTGACATTGTGTGTTACTATCTTCCATGTCTCCAGTTTCTCGTACTCCTCTGTTTTGATTTGGATTGTGGCTGTTTTGATTTGGTGATTATTTTTCTTTGTGTTTGTTCTTGGTTGGATGTCTTTGTTGTTTTCTTGTTTTTTGTGATTGATGTAGGTTCAGGTGAACTGTAGTAGTGGTGGGTATTTGGGTTCATGTGTAACTTGTAATGTTGTGTATCTGTTTTCAACATTGGTATTGCTATTTGTATTTGTTTCTTCTTCTGGGTAGTTGTTAATCGATTCGTAGAGTGTTGAGAGATTGTTGGTGATGCTTTCTGCATCTGTTGTATTGCTTTGGTTGTTACCCATATTATTGATTTGTAGTAAAAGTTTCTGTGTTTCCAGGATTAGTGTATGGATTATGTTGGACAGATCATTCATTGTTTGGTTGGTGTTGTTGATGGTTTCGTGGATTTGTTTTTGGCGTGTTTGGAGGTCTGTGATTTCTTGTACTGAGATTGTATTGTTTTCTGGTGTTTGATTTTGTTTTGTTAGTTCTTTGAAGGTTTCTTGCACTTCTGCCTCTTCTGTTTCCATGGCTTCGATGCCATTTGTTTCATAATACTCCAGATTTGTGATTTTTTCATTCATATCTGTTATTTGTTGCTTGATTTCTTGTATGTCTTGTTGCATTTGTTGCAACAGTTTAAGTACTTCTTTCATGTTTGCATTTTTGGTAATATGGTCTGTGCTTTTGCTGGTGCTCGGTTGGTGTTTTGCAGCTGCTGTGTATGTGCCTGGTCTTGTTCTTCTTGTTTGGGGTGGAATGTGTTTCCTGATTTCTTGTGTTTTTGCTGGTTTGAATTTCTCGTATAGTTTACCAAACTTTGAGGTCTGCTTCCTGTTGTATTTTGACCAGTGGTTTCTTCTTTCCTTGGTTGGGCATGTGGCTGCCAGGTGTGTATCACCATCACAGATTGCACATAGTTTGGTATCAATTTGTGTCCATGTAATCTGTGTTTCTCTGATCATAAAGTTCTGTTGTCGTAGCATTGCTTAGGTCAGCTATGTTCTTGAAACTGATAACTGCAAATCTTTTTCTTTGATAAGATCCTCTGCATGGGATATAGCATGTTTTTGCCTTGATTTGTTGACATATAGTGCATAGGTCAAAGGCTGTTGTATTGGGTGGGAGGTTTGTAAGTTTTGCTGCAATTTGGCTTCTTTTCTTCATTTGTGCTAGACTCCATTGTACATCAAACACTCTGACCATGTCGGCCTTGAAGGGGATGCTTCACATGTCTACAATTTTTTCTTTGTTGCTCTTATCCTCAAATGTAATGATGACTGTTTGCCACATTTGTTGTGTACTCATTGAGATGCTTGTGATCTGTCCATATTTGATGAAAGTTTGTTGCACTTCTATGAATCTTGCATTCAGGAGGATATCCCATACTTTGATACTATTTTCCCTTTTTTGGATGGGATCATGCGTAGGGATAAAATCCAGGTGTGTGTTTTCCAAATTGGGTAAGTCTATGGTGCATGCTTGTGCTGCCACATAGTAGTCTCCGAATGTGGCAGTGATCAGCTCTTTGTCTTT